GGATTAGCCTAGTGAGCTGCAGCACCGGCCTGTTCCACTTCTGATCCAGCTCCCTGTTAATATGTATGGGAAAGCAGTGCATGATATTGGAGGCTTGAATGGAGTTCCTGGACCCTGGTTTTGGCCTGGCCCAGCCGTGGCTGTTGCAGCCTTTTGGGGAGTGAACCAGCAGATGGAAGATACCTCTGTCTTTCTCTCTGTCTCTTCCTCCACCTCTCTGACATTCTGCCTTTCAAACAAATAAATAAATTTTAAGAACCAAAAAAATTCCAAATCACTAATGTGCCTGGCTTTCCTCTTAGACCAATGAAAGAATGACTATTTGATTTGGAACCAGTATTAGGGCTACATCTTATGTTTCCAAGCCCACTGATCATCTCCTCACTATGAAGTCTGCCTCTTGCATAATGGCTCTGGAACCAAAAGAGATAAGTGTTCCAATACCAATTACAGGGGCTGGTGTAGTAGCACAATGGGTTAAGCTACCACCTTCAATGTTGGCATCCCATATCAGTGACAGTTCAAGCCCTAGCTGCTCCCATTCCAATCCAGCTCCCTGCTGATCCAGCTCCCCTGGGAAAGCAGCAGAGGATGGCCTAAGCCTTTGGGACCCTGAACCCACATGGGAGACTCAGACACAGTTTCTGGTTCCTGGCTTCAGCCTGACCCAGCCCTGGCCATTGTGGCCATTTGGGAAATGAATCAGCAGACAGAAAGAGTCATAGAAGGCAAGAGACAGAGAGCAAGAGCAAGCGAGAGCGAGCGAGCGAGCAAGAGAGAGAGAGAAAGGTCTTCCTTCAGTTGGTTCATCCCCCAAGTAGCCACCACGGCTGGCACGCTGCGCCGATCTAAAGCCAGGAACCAGGTGCCTCCTCCTGGTCCCCCATGTGAGCGCAGGGCCCAAGGACTTGGGCCATCCTCCACTGCCTTCCCGGGCCACAGCAGAGAGCTGGAGTGGAAGAGGAGCAACTGGGACAGAATCCGGCGCCCCAACTGGGACTAGAACCTGGTGTGCCAGCACCGCAGGTGGAGGATTACCCTAGTGAGCCATGGCGCCGGCCTCCAGTTAATATTTATTAATGTCTACTTAATAAAAGGCCTTATACAAGAGACATAGGCATAATTCAAGAGAAATTGTCCATAGTTCTGGCCCAAGAAGAGTTCCCGGTTTAAGAGAAGAGATCAACTCATAAACAATAAGTATAGCGAGCCAGCGCCGTGGCTCACTAGGCTAATCCTCCGCCTGCGGCACTGGCACACCAGGTCCTAGTCCTGGTCAGGGCGCCGGATTCTGTCCCGGTTGCCCCTCTTCCAGGCCAGCTCTCTGCTGTGGCCAGGGAGTGCAGTGGAGGATGGCCCAAGTGCTTGGGTCCTGCACCCCATGGGAGACCAGGAGAAGCACCTGGCTCCTGCCTTCAGATCAGCGTGGTGCGCCGGCCATAGCGCACCGGCCGCAGTGGCCATTGGAGGGTGAACCAACGGCAAAGGAAGACCTTTCTCTCTCTCTCTCACTGAACACTCTGCCTGTAAAATAAATAAATAAATAAATAAATAAGTATAGTGGAATTAGTAGGAGTGTTGTATGTATTGTGTTTCATATAAGAAGGCTGACAAGAATCTTCCCTTTTCTAGCAAACCTGATGTTAGGGACTAGGTAGTCTCCAGAGTTTAAAGGCACATCAAAAAAACAAACAAACAAACAAACAAACAAACAAAAAAAAACTAAAACACTTCCAACTTGTAACATGAAAAGAGCTCCTGAGAGGGGTGAAAGTAGTTCTGTAAAACAGCCCTTACAAGATTTTAAGAATTGTCAAGAATATCCATTTAGCCAAAAAGGGAAAGTAACTCATGACTACCGACAAATGAATGGATAAACAAAATGAAGTCTACAATGGAATGTTATTTAGTCCTAAGAACTAAGAAGGGGTGGCTATCTGGCACAGCAGTTAAGATTGCCAACACTGGAGTGCCTAGGTTGAGTCCCAGTTCTGCTCCCAATTCCAGCTTCCTACTAATGTGTACCCAAGGAGGCAGCAGGTGATTGCTCAAGTATTTGGGTCCCTGCTACCCACTGAGTCCCCAACTCCTGGCTTCAGTCTGGCCCAACCTGCAGCTGTTGAGAGCATCTGGCGAGTGAACCAGTGTATGGCAGATATATGTGTCTCTCTCCCTGTCCTTCAAATAAAATAAATAATTTTTTAAGGTAAAGAAATTCTGACATGCTGTAACATGGATGAACCTTGAGGACAGTATCCTGAGTGAAATAAGATAGTCATAAAAGGATATTGAGATTATCTAGAGTAGTCAACTTTATAGAGACGAATAATAGAAGTGGGGAGTGAAGAATGGGAACTTAGTATTTCACAGGTAGAGAGTTCTGGTTTTGCAAGATGAGTAGAGTTCTAGAGGTAGAGAGTGGAGATGGCTGTGCAACAATGTGAATGTATTTAATGTCAAACAACCACATACTTAAAAATGATTAAAGGGGGTGGGGGTGAAGCAGTGTTTTTGGTGCAGCAAGTTAAGCCACCACCTGCAATGTTGGCATCCCATGTGTCTCTGCTGCTCCACTTCTAATCCAGCTCCCTGCTAATGTGCCTGGGAAAGCAGCAGAGGATGGCCCAAGTGCTTGGGCCCATGCAACCATTTGTGAGATCAAGAAGAATCTCCAGGTTGGCACCATGGCTCACTAGGCTAATCCTCCACCTGTGGCGCTGGCACTCCGGGTTCTAGTCCTGGTCGGGGTGCTGGATTCTGTCCCGGTTGCCCCTCTTCCAGGCCAGCTCTCTGCTGTGGCCCGGGAGTGCAGTGGAGGATGGCCCAAGTGCTTGGGCCCTGCACCCACATGGGAGACCAAGAAGGAAGCACCTGGCTCCTGGCTTCGGATCGGTGCAGCACGCCAGCCGTAGTGGCCATTTGGGGGGTGAACCAACTGAAGGAAGACCTTTCTCTCTCACTGTCTAACTCTGCCTGTCAAAATAAATAAATAAGAATCATCATCTCCAGGCTCCTCACTTCAACCTGGCCCAGCCTCAGCTGTTGTAGCTACTGCAGGAATTAACCAGTGGATGGAAGACCTTTCTGTCTGTCTCTCCCTGACCCTCTCAAAATGGTAAATGTTGTATTATATATATATATATATATATATATATATATATTACCACAACTTTAAAAAAATGATTTCTGGCTTACAAAAAGAGAATGTCCATCTCCTCTGTGATCATCCTTACATATGATAGCATATCAACTCAGCTTTTCCCAGATCATGATATAAGAATTTGGGATAACACTCATGCAGAAGATGCTGTATTACTAACAACCGAATATATATATGTATATATTATATATATATATATTTTTAAATTTATTTATTTGAGAGGCAGTTACAGAGAGGGGGTGAGGGAGAGACACAGAGAGAGAATCTCATCTGCTGGTTCACTCCCCAAATGGCCTGCCAACAGCCTGGGCTGGGCCAGGCTGAGGCCAAGAGCCAGAAGCCAGGAGCCAGGAGCCTCAGTCTGGTCTCCCATGTGGATGCAGGGGATGGCCCAAATGCTCAGGCGCATTCACAGGGAGCTGGATTGGAAGTGGAGCAACTATGACACGAACCAGCACCTATATGGGATGCCAGTGCTACAGGCACCAGCTAAACCTCCTAAGCCACAGCTCTGGCCCCAACATAAAAAATTAAAGTACATAAATATATACCCCAGAATTTAAAGCAAAATAAACATGCTATACATTAACCATGAAATTATTTCAACAAGTGTGAGAGGCAGAAAATAAACCCAAGTATTTGTAGGTCTAAATACCAATTTAGGACTATATAAGCTAATTCCTAAGGAGACAAGAAAGTACATGCGGAAAAAATAATTACATCATATAAGGCAGGTTCATATATTAGAGTCACGTTCTCATAATGCAACGTTATTGCTTCAAATTTAAAAACTGTGTCAACCTGCATTAAACAAAGCAACTGCACTATACTGAGCAAAAATGTCACATTGACATTCCTGTACAATGACCTGGTTTCCCAGTAGTCCAGAAAGATGGGAATAAAATCCCAAGGACTCTAGTTCAGACAGACTGAAGAGAGCAGAGTGTGGCTGTCTTATGATTAAAGGCTATGGTACAGCTCAGTGCGGTCCATGCTTTCGTAGCTTACCCCCGGCAGTCCTCTATAAGCACTGGGATAAGAGTGACAGCCTCACAAAAGGGGTAATAAGAGATAAAGCTTCTTCCTAGATTGTTCAAAGACTGCAGAACCCAAAACTCCAAGTTCTCTGTTGTCTATCCATCCAATTTTCACTAAGAGTAATTTACATTATCCAGAAGCTTCAAAGTCAATTGCCACTTTTGGTTTTACCTTATCAAACCCATAAAAACAGGACTAGGGAGTGATTTGGATAGAACTACAATACATTCTCAAATCAAATAACTGATTTAAGTTAGAGCCAAGTTCATCAACAGTAGGATGACCTAGGATTCAGGCAGTCACCTGTCTTCTTGCATTTCAGAAAGACTAGCATTACTCCAGACACAAGTCCATAGGTGTAAGCAACCTCTGTGTGGGTAATGCCATCAAACAAAAGCAACACCTTCAAAGTCTCTCAGTGACTAGAGGCAGCCAGACACTCAAACTGCCAGCCCTGAATTACGGCCTCTGAATGGTGAGGGCTTCACATTTCACCGATCAGGGCACAGCCCAATCAGAAGACAAACCCCTGCACTGCCAGGGACCAGCAAATCCGCTTTCTTCCAGTGTGCACATGACTGAATGTGCTTCTGTCCATCATCTGGGTCATATATAGTTCAATGCGAGCTGAGCAGACAGGGCTGCGAAGAAATCTGGCGCGGTTCAATACCTCGTCTAGCTTGGGTTCCAGTGTCTTTTTTATATGTTTTTTAATGTTTAACTGACAAACTCATTTCTCTACTGGGACAGGATGCTGTGCTGGCTGGAAGTTCCATTTCTACAGCAAGAATCCTATCTGAAGCACAGAAGTTGTCCTCTAGCCACAGCAGCTCGAACTTTTTTGATTGTTGTTGCTGCTTTCTCCCATCACCCCCATCCCCTTTTGACAAAGATCCAACTGTAAAAAGTCTTACGTAACAGTTCAGGACTACTTCGGTTCTTTTACTGGGTAAGCACTTTCAATTTTTTTTAACTGAAAACCATTTTAAAATTGAATCTGTTGAGAGGCTTGACTAAAATCTTTTAAGTAATTTGTGTCGTGAAATACTGTCAGTGGATTTTTTAGTCTCATTTCTGCACGTGCTCCTTTGTTCTCAGAACAGAAGCTTTTTATACACACCCCATAACGCAGCTGGAGAAGAGTTATGAAGTCAGTTATTATAAGAAACACAAAGGTTGCTTTGCATTCTTTGCCTTCAGATCATTAACTGTGTATTTGTCTTCTTAAAACAGTATTTAAAGAAGGAAAAATTTCACAAAAGAATAAACTGTTGGAGAATCTAGCAAAGTTTGAAGTTTTTACCACCTTTTTTATCTGCAGTTTCGGGTGGCTAACACTTGTGCTGCCTGGGGCAGTGGGGGTAGAGTCAAGCATAGACAGAGAGGAACTAAGCCAGACATGGACAAAGGCATGAGCCAAAACCAGACAGTCCTGGCCGGTCGATAGGCCAGCAGTGGGTGAGACAGGTCAGCCAGCTGCGGGGGTGGGAGGAGGGGGAAAGGGGCATGGATGTGTGAGGTGCTCATGCGTGCGATCGTGACTAGATTCTGAAACTGCCAGCCATTTTCCTAGCTATGCTTTGTGCAATCTAAAGGAATGCATCTCCTCTGAAGCAGTCATGCCACAGCCCAGTGAGAGAGAGGAGTCTGATAAATACCACAACACAGGGAATCAGAAAATACTGGGAACTGGGGTGGGCAAGAGAGAATGCAGAGGGTGTGGAAATTTTTTAGTGATCTGGAATGTGTTGAGTGACAGGAAGTGCCCCCAAGGGCCCCCCCCAACCAACTCTTCTCAGTCGCGCCTGCTTTTGTCTAACTCTTGTAATCTACACACTACTGCTTACAAAGCTGTCTGAGTTTAAGACAAAAAGAAACATAAAAGGCTCCCAGTTTCATAGTACCTATGATATGCCAGGAATGTAAAAGCATGGCCCTTCAAACTGTGGACTTTTTTTCATGTGTACATTAGAAAGATAAAATGATTTTCCATGGATGAGAATTATGAATTATAGTCCAGGTTCCAAATCTCATTTTTCTAAACGAAATCTTGATTCTCCTATACTTACAAATGCTTAGGTTGGTTCCTAATTTGAAGACTTGTTTTGTTTGGTTAATACATTACATTTGAAGTTGTTTCTTCTTTTTATAAATATGGACTTTATGAGGAAAAAATACAAAGCACGTAAGCAGAATGGAGCCCCCCCCCCCAAAAAAAACAGGAATTTATTTCCTTTATTGGTGTAAGTGTTTAAGGTAAGTCTCTGGAAAAGCAGTTCTCTCTTACTTTTGGCATGGATGCTACAAAGGTAACATTATACTATAATAATTGTAAGGTAGAAACTTTTGAGAGAAAATAATAGTGTTCAAGGTGAAAAACAACTACCATTTTCCCAAACTTTCATATGATCAACAGAAACACTAAAACTTGAGAGAAAAGTAGCCAAATAATTACACAGCTAGCCCTACTTAGGGGGTATGAAATGGAAATTTAAGAGAAAATAAAATGATACTTGGGAATGTTTCTGCCTCCTACCACAAAGGACGTTAGTGGTCAGCCTAGGAGTTAATCTTTCCTAGCGTGGCTCTGAGCCTGCCGAGCAGACGTTATTCACATGACGATTCGAAAAGTCCATTCATATATCTCACTACCTGGATTTGAATAGAAACCAGACAGCAATTCTTTAGTTCCAGCCACCATTCGCCCCACTGGACAATAGCGATTTGTTAGCACAGAGTCACAGGCTGTGGGACACAAAGCTTGGAGCTGCAGAAAGATGGGGGACTCAGAGAGCAGGAAATTACAGGCTCGGTGCACTCCTGGCAGCTCTGAGAATACAAAAAAAAGAGAGAGAGAGAAAGAAGAAGAAGAGAAAAAGGAAGAAAGAAAAGAAAAAGGAAAAAAAAAAGGCAACACAGAAATGCCATGTTTAAGAGCTACTTCTAGCTTTTTTCTACCACCTCCAATGTCATAAAAGCTCTATTGTTGGAGTACATAAAGTCACGAGTCCCATGTGCTCTTTTCTCACTACAGGGAACTTCATTCAATGCCCTGGCACAGTCAGAAATATCAAAAGCATCCAGAGTTGATTAGTTGCATGCTCTGGTAAAAAGGAGAGCAGCATTCCACAAATAAAGTGTCAGAGAAGAAAACACACTGAAGTGACAAATAATAGAATGAGTATCTTTAAAAAACTATTTAATAGTACCAGACAATCAGAATAAAAGCAAATACATCAACAACTCAAGAATATTAATGTTCCTATAAAATATATTTTAATTCCACCAAAAGTTTCTTTGGAAAACATGTACAAATTTAAAAACTACTTATATAGAAAACCTCTGAGTTCTGGGTTGTGTGTTCCAAAACAAAGAATTAAATTCAAAATTCCGGGACTTATTTTGGAATGTTAAAGTAGAAAACTACATTTGCTTTTGTTGATCACCATATTATTCTAGCCTCAACGCTAAATTATGAAATTGTTTCAACTTTTTTGAGAGCTAAAAACTAATATTAATAAATATTCTAAGTGGAAGAGGAAAGATAATTCTCCAATCTCAACTAATGAGTAGAGGAAGCAGTTCATGGGTTCTTATCTAGGCCGTCATGCTGCAACTAAGCACCAACAGGCCAGGCTGTTGTTCATTCCAGCAGGAGAAGGTGATGCTGCACAAGGAAGCTAAGAATAGTTTTGTCTTCTATCCAAATCATAAATTATATTATATTCTAAAGATGCATCAAATGAGATCACAAATGATCAAAAAGTATTTTGTAAACAGGAACTCATCTATTCTATTCAGTCCCCTGATATTACAGTTTTAAGTTGAACACATGCCAGATTTGATGTTGCTGGAAAACCAATCAGTAACCTTTAAACTATCAATGAGTTTCTTTAAATTCTTTCATTACTCATCAGATAAAAATATCAGTTACTACCTCAAACTGTGCTATCTATTATGGCAGCCACTAACCACATGTGGCCATTTTGATTTAAATCAATCAGATTAAATATAACAGAAAATTTAGTTTTGCAGGCACAATAGTCACACATTCATGCATGAATGGCCTCATGTAACTAGTGGCTATTATACCGGATGGTCTAATATGCAGAAAGTACTACTGGTCAGCACTGACTTAGATAGAAATAACTTTCAACATACCTGTCTTCAACTAAAAATCCAGCTGAACATAAAACAATCTCTAAGAAAAAATTATAATAATAAGATAGCTAGTGCCATGATACTTGAGATATGCCTAGAAACCAGAGAAGGGGGTCCAGATCCTCTGTCCACCCTCTTTGGTCTGTGATAAAGAAGTGATAAAGAACATTAAAGACAGTAATAGTGGATAACAGGTAATGGCCAGAGTAAATGAAATGCTCCAATGTGGTACTAATTCATCAACAAAAAGCCTCTCCTCAACATGCCAGGCAACTAATTCTATAGTCTCTCTCACAGTATCGCTATTATGGATAATATGGATTATAACAAAGAACAAGGGCCTGGTAATCACATGTGCCTTCCAATTTATTAGCTAGATGATAATCAGGCAAACTAGTTTACTTCTTGGAGACTTAGTATCCTTATCTGAAAAATGGGGAAATAACCACCCTGTAGAATGTATGGAATGACTCACAATAAATATTGTAAAGCATCTAGTAAGCAACAGGCATAGTAGAAATTTTATAAAGAGCAGCTATATTTTTATAAAGAGCAGCTATATTATTTCCCCCTTAAATCTTTATAAGACGTTTTCTTGTAAATAGACAGATACTATTCAAAACATAAGGCAAGCTTTCATAATCAAATGTTCTAAAATACTGACATCAGCAATTCAGTTTGAGTAAAATGGAAATATCTGGACACTGGATAGCTTTTCCTAGCTATCTGACTCTGCCAGAAAAATCTCAAGTCATAGTTGGATTAAATAACCAGCACGGGCACTGGGCACTCACAACCTTATATTTATGTATCTGGGCTTAGATGTTAGATAAAAGACAATGTCCTATGGCTAAACAGTCAACTCCAATCTGCCAAGGGGTGCATGTACATATTAACTGCGTACAAAGTAACGGTTTCCAAATACTGGGATCCTTATGCCTATTCAGGAAAATACTATTTTGGAATGCAGTTGTAAGAAAGCTATCCTGGCCAGCGCCGCGGCTCAATAGGCTAATCCTCCGCCTTGCGGCGCCGGCACACCGGGTTCTAGTCCCGGTCGGGGAGCCGGATTCTGTCCCGGTTGCCCCTCTTCCAGGCCAACTCTCTGCTGTGGCCAGGGAGTGCAGTGGAGGATGGCCCAAGTGCTTGGGCCCTGCACCCCATGGGAGACCAGGAAAAGCACCTGGCTCCTGCCATCAGATCAGCGTGGTGCGCCGGCCACAGTGCGCCAGCCGTGGCAGCCATTGGAGGGTGAACCAACGGCAAAGGAAGACCTTTCTCTCTGTCTCTCTCTCTCACTGTCCACTCTGCCTGTCTCAATGTCTCTGGTTGTGGCCATATTTCCTGTATGTGGTGAAGAAGGCAAGCAGCAAGCTAGCAAGCAAGCAAGCTATCCTAGCTATCCTTCCTACTGAGAGGGAAATCGTCAAAGAAAGGGAAATCGTCAAAGAAATTATGTATTGGAGCTCTTTTTCAGGAAACATTTAAACATCTAGATTATAACAGTAGTACTGAACTGGTAAAATGTTCAGTGCCTTATGGGTCCTCCATTATAGTAACCTGGTCAACAGTAGTACTGGGATGGCATGAGTGGTACCTCCTGCAGGACTTCGGAATAAATACGGAAAATAAGCAAAAAAAAAAAAAACACCAACAAAGTACTTATATCATGACAACTCTTAACCACCAAAACTGACATCAAATGAACTGGCTGTGATAAACCTGGACATGAGGTTCTTAAGATCCCGATGCCATTCTTGGGCCAGCGCTGTGGCTCACTTGGTTAAACCTCCGCCTGTGGCGCTGGCATCCCATATGGGCGCCGGGTTCTAGTCCCGGTTGCTCCTCTTCCAGTCCAGCTCTCTGCTGTGGCCCGGGAGGGCAGTGGAGGATGGCCCAAGTGCTTGGGTTCCTGCACACGTATGGGAGACCAGAAAGAAGCTCCTGGCTCGGATCAGCATAGCTCTGGCCATGGCAGCCATTTGGGGAGTGAACCAGCAGAAGGAAGACCTTTGTCTCTCTCTCTCTCACAGTCTATAACTCTACCTGTCAAATTAAAAAAAAAAAAAAAAAAGATCCCAATGCCATTCTCAACCTATCCTATACCTGCTTTGTGCAAGAAACATGGGTTATATGGTTAAGTGGACATGAGCAGAATCTTGGCTCTACCACTTATTTACTATGGAATATTGAGTAAGTGTCTTCCTCACTTTATTGCAAATTCTAAATCCATAGCAAATATTAATACCTTCCTGTCAGGTTGTTTTAAGGCTCAAGGATCATGTATATAAAACACTCAACACTATTCCTGGCACATAAAAACTACTCAGTAAATACCAATTCTGTGAAAACTCAGTAAAGGTTTGAGGTCCAATTTATTGTCTGCAAGCCTTCCCAGATATAAGGAATGAATATAGAAGGGTTCCAGACTAATCCACAGCACAGGCCATCCTCTGTTTAAAAATCAAATTAAGACAAATATGTGAATGTAAAAAATGTATCAAAGTTGTATAAAGTACCTCAGTCTTAGAAACATGAACACTGAATGAACAGACTAGATTAATAAAGGAAAACTATTATCTGGAAAGTGAAGTAGAACATCAGATTTTAATAATGTAAATTAAAATTTAATGCTGGCCAGCGCTGTGGCTCACTTGGCTAATCCTCCGTCTGAGGCGCCGGCACCCCGGATGCCAGTCCTGGTTGGGGCGCCTGGTACTATTCCTGGTTGCTCCTCTTTCAGTCCATCTCTCTGCTGTGTCCCAGGAGGGCAGAGGAGGATGGCCCAAGTGCTTGGGTCCCTGCATCCGCATGGGAGACCAGGAGGAAGTACTCGGCTCTTGGCTTCGGATCGGCGCGGCGCCAGCCGTAGCAGCCATTAGGGGAGTGAACCAACTAAAGGAAGACCTTTCTCTCTGTCTCTCTCTCAATGTCTATAACTCTCTCTCTCTGTCTCTCTCTAACTCTGCCTGGCAAAAAAAAAAAAAAAAAAAAAAAGCTGATACAAATTTAGGACTATTAAGTACAAAAAACAAAGAACCATTAATACTTCTTGGAGATTTTTTAGAACAATTTCTTCTAACTCTTCTTGGTGATTAAAACAAAAACATGAAAGTCCTAAAATATCATCCATGGGTAAATTAACATACCCTCCTGAGGCATAGCAAAGAAAATTCATGTCTTCTAAAAATGAAGATTTAAAAATACTTCTCAGGCCAGATATTTTCTGACTATATCTATGGACTCATTTTAAAAAAAGAGATTTATTTATTTATTTATTTGAAAGACAGAGTAACACACAGAGAAAAAGAGAGGGAGAGAGACAGAGAGGTCATCCATCTGCTGGTTCACTCCCCAGATGGCCACAATGGCCAGAGCTATGCTGACCCAAAGCCAGGAGCCAGGAGCTTCTTCCAGGTCTCACATGGGGGTGCAGGGGTCCAGGAACTTGGACCATCTTCTACTGCTTTCCAGGCCATAACAGAGAGCTGGATCGGAAGTGGAGCAGCCTGGACTCAAGCTGGCACCCATTTAGGATGATGGCACTGCAGGCGGCGGTTTTACCCACTATGCCATGCGCCAGCCTCTGGACTCATTTTTAAAGTTGAAAATAATCCAGGGGCTGATGCTGTGTTATAGCGGGTAAAGCCGCCACATGTAATGCCGTCATCCCATATGGGTGCCAGTTTGAGTCCAGGATGCTCCACTTCCAATCCAGCTCTCTGCTATGGCGTAAGAAAGCAATAGAAGATGGCCCAAGTCCTTGGGCCCCTGCACCTGCATGGGAGACCCAGAAGCAGCTCCTGGCTCCTGACTTCAGACTGGGGCAGCTCCAGCTGTTGTGGCCATTTGGGGAGTGAACCAGTGGATGAAAGATCTCTCTCTCTCTGCCTCTGCCCCTTTGAAACTATGCTTTTCAAATAAATAAATAAATCTTACCCCCCCCAAAAAAAGAAGAGAAAAAGAAAAAAATAATCCAGAGAAAAACAAAGAATAGTAGGTGTTTCTTAATGATGCTGAATAACTAAAAATAATGGACATGCCACATAGCTTTTCAAAGTATGTAAAGCAGATTTTCTAAAGCAAACAGCAGAACTGTACAGGAGACAGTGTCGAGAAAAAGGGAAACCTAAAAGGTAGAGTTTTCTCCCAGAAACTGGCTGGACTATATTAGATGTCTTTTTTTTTTTTTAAGATTTTTATTTATTTATTTATTTGAGAGGTAGAGCTACAGAGAGGGAGAGAAAAAGGTCTTGATCTGCTGTTCATTCCCCAAATGGCTGCAACAGCTGGAGCTGAACTGATTCGAAGCCAGAAGCTAGGAGCTTTTTCTGGTTCTCCCACACAGGTGCAAGGGCCCAAGGACTTGGGCCATCTTCCATGGCTTTTCCAAGCTATAGCAGAGAGCTTGATCAGAAAAGGAGCAGCTGGGACATGAACTGGTACTCAGATGGAATGCTGGTGCTGCAGTCGGAGGCTTAACTCACTATGCCACAGTGTCAGCCCCTAGGTATCTTCTCTTAGCTCTGCCACTAACTAACCAGTAACTTTTCACAAGCCACTTGTCTTCAAATCTGTTACCAGTAGTAGTGCAAAGAACACATTCATACTAGAGATTAAGGACATATACTACTTAAAGGAGAGAATCTGGATTTGCCAGATGGTATTCAGATTTAGTCTCTCTAATACCTCAACATAATAAAGTGTTTCACAAGAACACTTAAATACATACATAAATAAAAGACTAGTATTTCCATGGGTGCTATCATCTTTGATAAATAAAACACAAAAGATGTTCAGAGGAAAGGTTGAGATCCTCAGCAGATGGGTCTAGGTCCTTAGTAAATGGTAATCAAGTATAACCATTTTCTCTGATCATTCATTCATAATATATAAGCTCCCAATATTCATCACTCAGTGTTGGACCCAGTCTGAATGGTGAACGAAACAGATACACTTGCCTCACCTCACAGAGCTAGCAAGATATAAATTGAGATGACCATGGGCTAGAAGTCATACTATTGAAAGTACAGTAAGGATGAATTGGAACTAGAGCAGCCAGGACTCAAATTGGCAACCATAAGGGATACCAGCGCCTCAGGTGGATACTTAACCTACTATGCCACAGCGCCGGCCCATTTTGGGAAACTGCCTTGCCTAGTAAAAATGCACACAGCTCCCTTTGATTCAAGCAAAGAGATATGCTAAAGGCTCTTAACAGACTTTTCAATGGAGTCACGAAGGCATTAAGAAAATAAAATACCCTCAAATACATAGGCTGGTTTCACAATGACCACTGTAGCTGGAGTAAACCACTATCTAATTTTTTTTTCTTAAAGAGATGTTTATTTGAAAAGCAGACATGCACACAAGAGAGATCATCTATATACTGGTTCATTTCCCAAATGGCTGCAATGGCCAGAACTGGGCCAGGCAGAAGCCTGAAACACCATCTGAGTTTCCTAAGTGGGTGACAGGGGCCCAAGCACTTGTGCCATCATCTGCTGCTTTCACAGACACTGATTAGCAGGGAGTTGGATAGGAAGTGGAGCAGTGGGGATTCAAACTGGTGCTTAAATGGGATGTCATCATCACAAGCATTGGCTCAACCTGCTGCACCAGAATGCCAACCCCTGTGGTAAATCACCATCTATCTCCTTTTGATAGATGTTTAAGAACAAGATAAGTTCTGGAAAAGACGAATGAAATACAGGGGTCTGGGAATGGAATGATGCTCCAGGAGCAGATCATGACACACTGCAGCATTACATGTGACACACGTTTCCTTCACCTTGTTCTCTAAGACTATGTTCTTTAATGATAAATACTAGTATCACCATGATTACAGGGCTAGCTAGTACTTACTCAACCCATGATTAAGCTGGCTTTTAGTGACCAAAATACATGAGACATGGATGATAACTATGAAGAGAAGAGGAATCTAGAGTAATAGCTTGGTTTCTGAGACAATATGTCTTACATTTATATCTACAGGGTATCTAAACATTAACCCCTCTTCAAATTGGGATTTATCCTTGCTGTCAAAGGACTACATGATAAAGCTGCTATTACCAATGGAGTGATGTATATGCATGTACCACAATGGTACAATCTTCACATTATCTCCACAGAACCTGAAGCTCCCAGGATCCAAGAGTTCTAATCACAAAGTTTCCAGGTTGGTTACTTGACATTATAGAATTTGAGTTTCCACCTAGACGTTTATCACTGGGAAAGACTGAATATCATGTGGCTTTTGCTTTTTCTTTGTTCACTGACTATCAAAGTCAAGAGGAAGAGAGGTCTGGCAAATATACTCAGAGCAAATTAGACTGCTACATCCAAAACAAGGATCCCAATCTGGTCATCTGTTACTGTGACCTAGATTTTGGAATTACCTCCATTGGGTTTCCTAACAGCATCACATTTTTATCAGGTTCACTTCTCTGTATAAACAACTATTACAAAAACAGAAAAATTCCTTCTGCTTGGTCACATAAGAATTTCTAGGTCTACAGTTTATTCATTTAGGGTCTATCTGCTGAGTGCTTAGTACAAGCCAAGCCCAGTTCTAGGCACTGGATACTCAGAAGTAAACAAGGCAAAGGTCCTGTCTTTGGGCATTTAGTTAAAAAACCTTGAACTCAGACGCAGCTTGTGTACTCTCTGTGACCCTGGACAGATGTGCCTCTTTGAATCTCAGGTCCCTACTCTGGGTAAAAACAGCAAGAATACAGTATCACCTCATAGGGTTTTTGTGGGAGTTACATGTTTGTCATGTCTACCAAAGTATCTAGAATACTAAAGATGTACTAGCTTTAGTTTTACAAATTGAATATAATACTGTCATCTATCCTGATTTTTTATCTATGTATGTAAGGATAAAACTTCTTTATAAGCACAATTTTCAATGGCTATATGTACTTAAAATATATGCTTCAGGTGTTAGTAGCTAAGCAGAGTAAGAGCCATTACTGGATGAAATGCCACTTTTTTCTGGCTCTTGAACAGGTTCTGGCTATATATGACCAATGCAAAATAACAAGAACATGAGAAAATCACTTCAAAGTTGGGATGTTAACGGTGAAATAGATCATAGCATTCACATAGATTTCAAAAAGAAGGGCACTTTATCTCTAGTAGTATTACTATTTTAGGCAACAAATAATTATATAGGAGAAAACTATAAAACAGATATCTCAAGTCTACCATAACAAGAAGAGAGAAAAAAAAAGCAACTATTAGCCTAGCAGATAAAATGCCACCTGGGATGCTTGCTGCCCCACATCAGAGTGCTCAAGGTCCATACCCAGTCTAGCTCCTGACTCCAGCTTTCTGCTTATGTTGTTGAGGACCTTAGGAGTCAGACCATGAAGCTCAAGTGGCTGGGTTCCTATCATCCAAGTGAGTGACCTAGACTGAGTTCCCAGCTCCCAGCTTTCGCCATGCCAAGCCCAGTTCTTCAGGCATTTGTGGAGGGAACCAATGGATGAGAGTCTTCTTTTTCTCTCTTTCCCCCTCAAGTTAATTAATTAAAAGTAAACCCCTCCCTCCAAGGGGCCAGCACTGTGGCAGAGCACGTAAAGCCGCCGGTTCAAGTGCCGGCTGCTCCACTTCCGATCCGGCTCTCTGTTATGGCCTGGGAAAGCAGTGGAAGATGGCCCAAGTGCTTAGGCCCCTGCACCTGTGTGGGAGACCTGGAAGAAGCTCCTGGCTCCTGGCTTCAGAGTGGCGCAGCTCCGGACGTTGCAGCCATCTGGGGAGTGAACCAGCGAATGGATGACTGACTGACTGACTGACTCTCTCTCTCTCTCTCTCCTTCTCTCCGTGTGTAACTCTGACTTTCAAATAAATAAATAAATATTTATAAAAATAAATAACTGCCTGAAATAAAATATTTCTTTAAAAAGAGGAAAGAAAGCATGTTTTTCCTCTGAAGATAATATAAAAGTACCATAAAAATTTTTTTCTGAAGGCAAATTCTTAGGCTGACTGCAATCATATCATATCCATCCTTCCTTCCTTCCTTCCATCCTTCCTTCCTTCCTCCCTCCCTCCCTCCCTCCCTTCTAAAGATTTATTTACTTGAGAGGCAGAGTTACAGAGAGGGAGAGACAACAGAGAGAGGTCTTCCATCTGCTGGTTCACTCCCCAAATAGCTATGATGGCCAGAGCTGGGCTGATCCAAAGCCAGGAGCCAAGAGCTTCTTCTGAGTCTCTCACGCAAGTGCAGGGCCAAGCACTTGGGCCACCTTCTACTGCTTTCCCAAGCTATCCAGAGGGAGCTGGATCAGAAGTGGAGCAGCCAGAACTTGACTCAGTGCCCATATGGGATGCCGGCACCACAGGTGGATGTTTAATCCACTATGCTACAGTGCCAGCTCTAATCATATACTTTATAAAATAACTTAGCTTTTACAATAAGAAGCAAAAGAATATAAAGACAAAGAATTATTTATAATTTTCAAAAAATTCTTCACAGTCCCATCACCTAAAGATAAACACTAGCAACATTTGGCAAACTTTCTTCTAGTTTTATTGTTACTCATTTTATTAATGACTTTTGAAATACTGAGAGTTGAAGTCATTGTACAAATGACAAGTGATCTATGCATATATAAATCACTTAAATAAAAAACATTAAATATACACCAACTATAATCTCACAGAAAATCCTCGTTAATATCCTAGTATAGTTCATATATAATGGAATAAATTATCAACAGTTTTATATTCTGACTTGTTTGCTTATAAAGCATTTTTTTCAAGTCATTAAAATGAGCTTTGGGGGAAGGCACTGTGGTGCAATAAGTTAAGTTGCTTCTTGGACACCTTGCATCCCACATCAGAGTTCTAGTCTGGTCTCCACTTCCACCCCAGCTTCCTGCTAATGCACATGCCGGGAGGGAGCTGATGATGGCTCATGTAACTTGGGTCCCTGCCACCCATATGAGAAACCCAGATGGAGTTTTTGGCCCCTAACTTTAGCCTGGGCAAGTTCTGGCTGTTGCAGGTATTTGGGGAGTGAAACAGCAGATGGAAGATCTCTCTCTCTTTCTCTCTGTTCTCTTTTCCTTTCAAACACATAAAAATAGATATTTTTAAAATGTTTGTAGCTATTATAGTTTCCATATATTATCTATTAGAAATACTATCTCAGTGAACATTTACACAGAAATCATTATCCACATTACTAATCATTTTTTTTTGTCTACCAATTTACAATTTACAAGCAGGGACTAACAGCATCTGTCTCACTCTAAGCCCTCAAACAATGAGAAAATGTCATACATAATAAGGTGGCATGCAAACAATAAGTTTACTCAATAATAAAAAAGAGTTTCAAAGGAAACTCAAAATGAAATAAGGACAAGAAAATATTCTTCCTAGCAAGATAAATATTACATCCCTATAAATGACAGGCAGTTGATAGCAATGTTGAAAAACCTTCTAACAGGACACAGTATGAGTTTAACAGAAGGTTTCAGAAATAAAAACAAAACACTCTTTTTTATGGATATATTTAGTTCCTTGGAACCAAAGAAGTGAATCAAGAATCAGTCCTACCAGTTGGGAGTAAATAATATGGAAAACAGTACCGATGAATTAAGTTACATAAAAATCAATGTTTCTATGAATTATTTTCAAAATTTAGTGTTGAGCAAAGAATATGAAATATGGATACATAAATTCTTTAATTCTTATTTATTTACTTGAGAGGCAGAGAGACAAAGAGACCTTCTATCTGCTGTTTCATTCCCCAAATCCCTGAAATGGCCGAGGAAACCAAAGACTGGGGGGCCAGAAAATCAATCCAGGTCTCCCAAATGGGTAGGCAGAAGTCTGACTACTTTAGACACCCCCTGCTATCTCCCAGGGTCTGCATTAGCAAGAAGCTGGAATTAGGATGTACAGCCAGGAACTCCGATATGGGATGTGGTATCCTAACTGATATCTTAACAGTAGGCCAAATGTCTACCCTAAATTCTTATCAAGTATAATTTATTCAACAAATATTTTATTGAATATAAACTTTGTTTAGGTACTTTCATATATAAGATATATGAAGTTAAGAAGTTCTTTTGTAAAACTTGCAATGGTATCCTCCACAATCTAGCTCTCTTAAATCATGCAACATTTACCAGGCCTAATTGAGGAAATACTGCATGTCTATGATGAAGCAAGAAAAAGAAAGATATTTCAAGACACTCTCCTGAATGACCAACTTAAAAATCAAAATTTCTTTACAGGAAAAACCAATACAATCTACTTAAATATATTACAGTCTAGGGTAAAACCACCACCTGTAATGTAGAATTCCATTTAGCTGCGGGTTCGAGTCCTGGCTGCTTCACTTCAGATCCAGCTCCCTGCTAATGGCCTGGGAAAGCAGTGAAAGATGGCCCAAGTACCTGGCTATTGCAGCCATCTGGGGAGTAATGCAGTGAATGGAAGATCATTCTCTCTGTAACTCTTTCAAAATAAATCTTTTTTTTTTAAGATTTATTTTATCTGAGCCGGCGCCGCAGCTCACTAGGCTAATCCTCCACCTTGCGGCGCCGGCACACCAGGTTCTAGTCCCGATCAGGGTGCCGGATTCTGTCCCGGTTGCCCCTCTTCCAGGCCAGCTCTCTGCTGTGGCCCGGGAGTGCAGTGGAGGATGGCCCAGGTGCTTGGGCCCTGCACCCCATGGGAGACCAGGAAAAGCACCTGGCTCCTGCCTTCGGATCAGCATGGTGCACCGGCCACAGCAGCCATTGGAGGGTGAACTAACGGCAAAGGAAGACCTTTCTCTCTGTCTCTCTCTCACTGTCCACTCTGCCTGTCAAAAAAAAAAAAAAAAAAAAAAAAAAAGGTTTATTTTATTTATTTGAAAGAGTTACAGAGAGAGGCAGAGACAGAGAGAGAGGTCTTCCATCCGCTGGTTCACTAACCAGATGGCTGCAATGGCCAGAGCTGAGCTGATCCAAAGCCAGGAGCCAGGAGCTTCTTCCAGGTCTCCCACATGGGTGTAAAGGCCCAAGGATTTGGGCCATCTTCTACTGTTTCCCCAGGCCATAGCAGAGAGCTGGATCAGAAGAGGAGCAGCTGGGACTAGAACTGGTGCCCATATGGGATGCCAGCGCTTCAGGCTAGGGCTTTAACCCACTGTGCCACAGCGCCGGCCCCTCAAAATAA